ATCTTGACTCCCAAACAAACTGCCAGAATGTATGCCAAGAAAGGCTTCCTCACATTCAGCATCTTAACACTTCCTTGCTGCCATGAACTGGCCACTCTGCTCTGAGATGCTGAGAATTTATTAGGATCCCAGTGACGCGTGTGCATTTTTCATGCACCTCATGATGATTCCAGCAAACCTGGAGCCCCATTACATTGAGAGTGACAGCAATGTGAAAGAAGAAAAATGGAACTGCTTTGCAGATCCCAGCTGAGACTTTGAAAATCCTACAGTGCATTCAGGCAAAGGCTCCAGACCCAGGCTGCCAGAATACCCTGGAAGGCTACAGAATGCAGACCACCAAAGAGATGATTTGCAGAATAAAAGAATGCTAACTTGTGCAAACACGCTGAGGTATTTCATTTCCGATGCTATATTTTGGGACAATTAACATGCCTATGAATGCAATTGCAGAGAACATCAAGATCATGAAAATAACACACTGAAAAGAGGCAGGTCCCAGCTGCTGGTTGCCCACTGTCCCAACCTCCCTTCCCAGCTGTGATGCTGCTTCTATTCTATGTGACATCTGATCAACATCTCGTTATGAAAGTGATGGATCAATGCCTGGATGTAGTGGCGGATGGGATGAGAGCTAATAAGCTCCAGCTAAATGCAAATAAGATGAGGCCCGAGTCTGGCAGGCAACTTTAATGCTGCACTGTCCCTGAAGGAGCAGGTGTGCAGTTTGGGGTGCAGAATGCCAGGCGGTGGGAATGGCACCTTTTACCACCTTTGATTGGTGTTGCAGGTATGACTGCTCTTGTGTCACGCTAACCATGCCACACTGACTTGGTAACATCAGGACTGGGCTACTGTGTAGCATTCTAAGAGGCGCAACCTTTAAGATTGGTACGGAAGCTGCAGCTAATGCAGAATACAGTGCTTAGGCTGCTGACTAAGGAAGCTTAATGCAAATATTTAACACTGCTTTTTAAAGAACAGCATTGGCTGCCAATACGCTACTACGGGTGGCACTGTGGGTTAAACCACAGAGCCTAGGACTTGCCGATCAGAAGGTTGGCGCTTCGAATCCCCGTGATGGGGTGAGCTCCCGTTGCTCGGTCCCTGCTCTTGCCAACCTAGCAGTTTGAAAGCACAAATAGATAAATAGGTACCGCTCCGGCGGGAAGGTAAATGGCGTTTCCATGGGCTGCTCTGGTTCGCCAGAAGCGGCTTAGTCATGCTGGCCACATGACCCAGAAACTGTACGCCGGCTCCCTTGGCCAATAAAGCGAGATGAGCGCCACAACCCCAGAGTTGGCCTCGACTGGACCTAATGGTCAGGGGTCCCTTTACCTTTACCTAAAGCCCTAAACTGCTTCCGACTGGGTTATCTGAATGGTTTGCCATGTATAGATCTTGCTGGAGGGGGCCAGGCCCATTCATGGTGCACTAAACTACAGTGCAGTGTGACATCAACATGTGGCTGCTTTATCTCAGCCTCAGCTTTCCCACTCCCTTCACCTGCAGTATAGGGAAGATAATTCTTGCTCACCTTACCAGAGTGTTGTAATATTAACTGAGATAATGTATGTGAGTACCACTGAACACTTGACATGCAGTATATACATGCTAAACATTATTATAAGCACAGTTCATTAAATATGTCTGGAGGGGAAATGCAAGCCTTTCTGCAACAGTAAATGCACATTTTACATATAATGCCATTATCTGCTTTCTGTCAACACATGGTATGAACACAGGATCTCCTGTACTGGAAAGGTACTAAATCGCTTACCTTGATCAAGGAGGATTGTTGAGTCTGTGCTGGGGATCTGGTCTTTCATCTTCTCATCTTCACTCTCCTCATCGCTAACCTCCTGAAAGATACCAGCAGTAAGTGTTGCAGGTGTGAATAACTGGTCAGTCGGCATCTCAGAAAAGGCTGGGCTTAAATCATTGCTGGCTGATTGATCTGCTGGAGGAGGTGTATCAGGATCTCCTGGTCTGAGAGGAACCCCAGTACTATCCAAGGCATTGAAAGGCACTGTGGGCATTGGGTAATCTAGAATGAGGTTTGTATCCTCAATGTCATTAACTGTTGCTGGACTTGCATAAACCAGTGGTACTTCAGAGGTCTAGCAAAGAGAAGAAAGAGAGGATGAAGAAAACCTGAAGAGAGGAACAATTGCTATGATACTTAACTGTGGTCCATGGAAGGCCATTTCACACATTAAGGTTGCTAAGTGCTTGTCTATTATGATTTAAGTGTACATTATAGAACCTTGATTTGCTCTGGTTTCTATAAACTGCGCTGCAAACCAGGGGTTGCCTCTGTGTAATGCAGGGTTTCCCACACTTGGGTCTCCAGCTGTTGTTGGACTACAACTCCCATCATCCCTAGCTAGTCAGGGATGATGGGAACTGTAGTCCAAAAACACCTGGAGACCCAAGTTTGGGAAACTCTGGTGTAATGTATACAGGTACACTCCAGAAAATATTTTAAAACTGTGTACGTATGTGCACGCACACATGTATGTATTTTTATTTATAGAGTTTATTATTACACTACTTGTCACATATGATTCTGGAGTGGCTCATAACAATATAAATATATAAACGTAACATTAACACATTCACCTGTCCTCTCACAAATATTCAAAATACTCTGAAGCAAGAGAACTGCCTTCATCTGGGACTAGAAAACTGACAGAGTAGGTGCTAGCTAGACTTCAGGGGAGAGAATATTCTATAGCCCAGGGTGCTGTTGCTGAGAAGGCCCTTGGTGTGTCTGTCTATAGGAGGGGGTCGTAGATATCCTGGCCTCAGTTAACATTAAAACAATGAGCAGGGTGGCGATACAATGACTACTGCAATCGACACAAGGTAGTATCACCAAGGCAACTATCTGTAAATAAATAATAATATTCACTGTTCTCAGTTAACATTGGCAGTACCAGAAGAGCCTCCACAGTCAGCATCAAAGGAAGGACAATATGGAGAAGACACCATCTTTCAGGTAACTGGGTCCTAAGGCGTTTAAGGCTTTATACATCTGAACTGTTACTTT